CGGGAGGCGGTCACCATAGAGACGGGATGCTGTACCTGGGCGCCAGGGCCTCGCTGGCCGACGCGCTGCCCCTCCACATTGCACCGCGGTGGTTCAGCTCGCACAGCGGTGAGTGCCGGCTCCCCGGAGCCTTCCCCTGGCTTCCCTTCCCTCCGCGGCTACCCGAGGACGGCGGTGGGCGCCGTTCATCCGGCAAGGGGGAGCTGCCCCCATCTTGGCCGGCGGGTCAAGCCCTGTTGTGCCAATCCCCATCCCCTGCCTGGTGCAGGCGGGTGGGTGCGCGCCGGGGCTGGCATCTCTGTCAAGGTCAAGGGAGGAAGGGGCTGTGGAGGGAGGAGGCTTTCTAGAAGGGAGGTGTTTTGGCTCGGGGACATGAAGCAGTGGATGTGACACACCCCAGTCCTCCATCGACTTGTGGGAAGGTGGTCTGCGGGTGCTGTAGCTCAAGCCCTTGGTTTTGAAGACCAGGCTGAGCTCCTCATGCCTCTTTCCGATGATGTTCGGGGGGTGCCAGTCAGGTATAGCAGTTCCTATGCCTTAGAAACTGGTAAAGAGGCAGAGAAAGCCTCTGAAAGCGAGGTGTGGGGATTTTTTTTCCTTTGTTTCGTCTGATAAAGGGCCAGGGAGAGGCCAAAGCGTGTTTTCTCATTCAAGCCAGCTGGCACTGATGTGGTTGCCGGGGAGGAAGCAGAGGAGGAACTGCCTGCCTCTTTAACAGGGCTGGGGGGCCGGCTGGGCTGTCTCGCAGGAAACGTGTCAGGCTGTGGGAGGAGGAAAGGTTACCCCCCTTCACCCTCCTGGCTGGACCCTTCCGTGTGTCCTGGTGTCTGGAGAGGAGATCTGTCTGTGAGCAAGGCTGTGTCACTGACCTAGTTTTGTCTGGGTGCAGGGAGAGAGGTGGGAGGTCCTCTCTTCCCCTCCTGGCTAGAGGGGAAGTCATTTCAGGGATGTCTCCTTGCGTTTCCTGGAATAGTCTGGGATTTCTCTCCCACCCGTCCCCCTCACAAATGCTGTAAGTGTTCTCCTTGAATGACGTGGTCTGGGAATTTCATAATATGCCTTGGGACAATGCCTCATTTTCAGGAGGACCTGAAACTGAACCAGTGGACAAGAACAAAGTGCAAAATGAAGCTTGCGGGGCCCATTTTCCTGCTTCCATTTTGGGATTTTTCCCTTTTGCCCAGTCTCCAGGGGCTGTTCTTCTCCATTAGGTTGAAGCTGCATGTCTTGCATTGCATCCTCAGTGGCAGAACACTCCAGGCACGATTCCTATTGATCCAGATAAACCGGATACTTGCTGTCCTCCCTGGCAGACGGAGAGGGGCTGGCATGCAGGGCTGGAGTTGAGACCAAGAGCTTCTGCAAACTTTCTTGCTCCGTGACCTTGCACAGACTGTGCTGCTGCTCTGGTTTTTAAACACAGAGAGAAACCAAGGCACAGCATCCTTCCAGGTATTCCACAAGCTTCTGTGGGAATAAGGGACGCGGGTCCTTCTGCTGCACCCGGTGCTGGAGCCTCGTTACAGCTCACGGGGGTCGGTCAGAGAGTATCAGTTACATTAAATGGTAGTTCTCAAACTGCAGTGCTGAGGGGCAGAAATCCTGTTCATAAAAATAAACCAGGTGCAAAATGGAGTAAGCTGTTCTCAGCCACTCGAGCGAGTTGGTGCGGTGCCGCTAAGTTAAACCTGGTGCCCTTGAAAGGTTGCAGTGTGGGCTGTGGGAAGTGCTGCAAGAACCAGATTTCTCTGGTGCCTCTTTTGGGGCCCTCTGAGAGCAGTTGAGCTGTGCCGGAGTGTGCACGGGCAGCAGTGAGAGCCACTCAGTCCCTGCCGAAGCCTCTCCCTCGAAGGTTCTTCCTCGTTGCTAATTAATAGCAGAATGAGCAGAGGATGCTTAAAAACCCTCCTGAAAACTTGTTGGAGCATGTTAAACTTTTGCACTCTCCCTCTTAGTGTGAGAAGTTAATGGAGGGTTTGGAGACTGAGGGGAAGGGGGAAGTAAGCCACCTCCAGACCGCTAAAATTCCTGCTGATCTCCCGCTGCAGCTGGTTAACCTACAGCAGGGCAGTCAGGAGCCACTCACTCCTTCCCCCTGCCTCCCCATCGACCTGCTCCTCTCGCAGCTCCGAGCCACTCCATTAGCCTCTGGAAAGTGCTGAAGCAGCAGTGCTCTGGTAAATGGAGAGGAGGTTTGACATTGCTGCGCGTGACTGTCCTGCTCCTTTGGAAGGATGACTCGAGGGGACGCGCCGACGCACCAAACCCACTCAGCTGGATGCATGCCTGGGGATCCTGGGGATCTGCCTGAGTTGCTGTACTACCAAGGAGAGGAGCCCCCCAAACTCTGTGGCTAACAGGGCTGGAGGGTGGCTTCTTGCCCTGCCAGCCCCTTTCTGGATACCTGGATGGTGCCGATCTCTGCGTGTGGGGAAGGTCGTGTTCATGGGCTTGTTCTTCCAGGAGAATTTGGGTTTGGGGGATGAGCTGGGAGCTTTAAAGTGCAGCATGGACTCTGTGGGGACCTCAGTGGGACAGCGAGGAGCCTTGGCTTAACGGCCCTGATAAGGTGCTGTGGTGGCGGCAGCGTGGCTGCAATAACGGAGCACACGGATAGGCTGGGCACCTCGCCACCCCCTTTATCTGGGGTTTTGTGCCTCTCCAGCTGCTTCATGGCTCATCTGGCCCCTCAGCAGGGACCCCAAGGAGTGAGCTGGGGCAGGCTGAGGTCTTTTCCCTGGCTGGTGTCACTCCTTCCCCTCTCTGCAGTTGAAGGCCTGCAGAAGAGCTAGGTGTGCCTGGGGGGGGGAGAGGGGAAACCTGTGCAGAGGCTTGAGGGGAGCCCATTGCTGAATCCCTCTGGAGACTACTGTGGCTGCCGGGATGGCAGGAGCAGTTAGATACTGATGGTTTCTAGCCCTTACCAGGACCAGGGGAGAAGAACTGCTGCTCTAATGAACAGCAAAGCCTACATGTGTCTTCCAAATGCAGTGGGCAAAGGGCTCTGACCTTTGTGGTGGAGCTTGTCCCTCCCTCTGAGTGGACAGCACCTCCCTGGGTAAGTGAATGCTGTTTCCTGGAGGGGATTTTCCCAGGCGTGTCCACCATACACACCAGCGATGTCACTGTTCCAGCACCACCTGAAACTGCTCTGGGATTTCCCTGTCTGCCCAGGGTTCCTGAGATCCACTTCCTGGCCTCTGAGTGGAAGATGACAAAACATCTTGTGCAACTTTGGAGTTTGCTTGTAGCACTTAACCCTGTCTCTTAGCTTTGTAACCACTAGACTCGGTAAAGCCAAGGCTAGTGGGAAGAAGGCAGAAGAGGGAGATGTGTGGTTTAATGCTGCATGTCTCCAGCTTTGTGTGGTTCTCTTAGTATCACTCGTGTTACTCATCTTCATCAGAAGATCTCAGGGAGTTTGCAGAGGCTGTAAGTAGCTTAAAGTTTATCTGGAAATCCCACTCATCACCCAAAGCCCTTGAGTGTTTGAAGCTCTAATAAATCCATATCTTCTTGTCTGCTGGCTAGCCCAAGGAAATGCCTAGCTCATCCTTCTGTACAGTGTCACCAGGAATGTCACAGGCTTCCTGTGTACCGACAAAGCAGGCTGTTTGCCCTGGATGCTGGTGGCACCAATATCAGGAGGTCTTCTTTGCCAAATGAGCTGCTGCGTTCTCGGCAGCGCTTTCCTGGAGCAGGAGGGCCCATCCTGGGGGAGATGGAAAGGTTTTTGGTGCAGAGGTGGCAGCCAGGGTGCTGGGCTGGGGCCTTCTTCAGGCAGAGTTAGAGAACAAAAGAAGCTGGAAATGCTCTTCCATCCAACTCTAGAGTATGGGATAGGAAACAGGAGTTGTTTGGAGGATGAGCTGGGGAGAGGCCTCTCTGTGGTGAACCCTTGCTGTACCCTGATAGCTTCAAGTCATGAGCCTTTTCTTGCTGGTGCCTGGAAGCTGCTGGAGGGAGTTGCCTCTCAGCCCTGACTTTCCTGACACCAACTTGTCACCAGTGTGCCCTGGCAGCCAAAAGGGCCAACTGTGTCCTGGGGTGCATCGGGCAAGGGAGGCGATTGTCCTGCTCTGCTCTGCACTGGTGCAGCTTCACCTTGAGTCCTGTGTGCAGCTTTGGGCACCACAATATGAGAAACACATTAAGCTATTAGAGAGTGTCCAAAGGAGGACCACGAGGATGGTGAAGGGTCTGGAGGGGAGGCTGAGGGCACTTGGTCTGCTCAGCCTGGAAAAGAGACTGAGGGCAGAGCTCACCACAGGCTGCAGCTTCTCTGCTCTCTGTGACCAGCGACAGGACCCGAGGGAACTGCTGGAGCTGTGCCAGGGGAGGGTTAGGTTGGATATTAGGAAAACATTTTTCACCCAGAAGGTGGTCAGGCACCAGAACACACTCCCCAGGGCAGTGATCATGGCATAGAGCCTGGCAGGGTTCACGAAACATTTGGACAACACTCTCAGGCACGTGATATGGTTCTTGGAGTTGTCCTGTGCAGGGCCAGGAGTTGGACTCGATGATCCTTGTGGGTCCCTTCCAACTTGGGCTATTCTATGATTCTGTGAATTTTTCAACATGCAGACAACATGTATGCTTCCCTACCCACTTCCAGAAGCTAGGCCAGGGGAAGGGTACCCCAGGGTCTGCAGGAACTATTTTTGCTAGTGGAAATTTCCAAAGATGACTGTCCTCAAACCATCTTTTTGTGGGTTTGGTGCTGGTGACTGTCTGGCAGCCGAATTGAGCGCCTGCATCATCGCCAGGCCTGCAGATCATTTGGGAATTGGGTGCAGGAGCGATCCTGATGACTCCCCATGCTGATGATATTCAGCTATTGGGCTCTCCAGCTCTTCTGCTTCTGCCTTCTCTGAGCCAGCTGCCAAGGCAGCATACACCTGGGACAGGGGGAAGAGGCAGCAGCTGCCTTGGAAGGGTGAAGTGCGGAACACCAGAAGACTCAAAGGCAGCTCTAAGGCACACCAGACCCCGAGATGAAGTTGGAGTGTGCCAACGTCAGCGCTGTGCATGAGGAGCTGGTGGTGGCCGTGGTCATCCTGTCTCCACAGCCAGAGCGAACACTGGCTGTCTCTGCACTGCCTTGT